ACTTACCTACCTACCTACCTACCCACCTACCTACCTACCTACCTACCTGCCTGCCTGCCTACCTACTTACCTACCTACCTATGTATCTATCATTTCTTTGTCGGTAGGCTGGTCATGTCTGCACAGATGGGATGATACTGTGCAGCAAAGACTCAGAGGGATCTCCGAAACGCCAAACTCCACTCCCTTGTCCAGCCAAGCATTGGATTTTGGGTTTTGGGCTTAAAGTTTGGGGTTTAGGGGCTCTCGGCCCTTCTAGATACCCGAACCCTTTTTAAGACATCCCGAATGCTGCGCCCCTAAGATGACGCTTCGCGCCTACAACTTCTACTTGGTGCTGGCAGTCCGGTGCTCGGTGCCTTCGAGTCTGGGAAGATGCCATGCAGGGCGGGAAGCCGGGCAACGACTCATTTCTTCTAGGACCCCAGATGCGCCCATCGAGCTTTGTGGCTGTGATCCGGCTTTGCTTCTGCAGGTGGGCCTTTGTGTCTATTCGGTGGTTGAACTGGGCCTCTCGTTGACATGCAGCAGGCTCGGCCAGGGAACGTATTGGTTTAGGGTTTAGGGTTTAGGGTTTAGGGTTTAGGGTTTAGGGTTTAGGGTTTAGGGATTCTCGGTATGGCTCCGAAAGCTCTGACATGCCGAATGTACAGGCTTCCAGAGACTGCAAAGGGAGGCAATGCCTACATCTGCGGCGTCATCGAGGCCGGTTGAGGATATTTCGGGCGCCAGGATATGCTGCCAACGCCTCTGGATGTCGGAAAATACGCAGGTGGTGGACATCATCTTCGTTGCCGCTGCGCCCTTACAGTTTGTTAGGGAGCTTAACTGGATTCCGGCAGCATCCCACGCCGTCAGAACTACCAGCTAGTTTCGTACGTAAACTCTCAGATACTCTTCCTTCTGCTGGTCTATGCCCTCTACATCGTGTGGTCCCAGGTTCAGGCACGACTGATGCGGATTACATGCCTTGTTGATCGCTTTGTAACACAAGCTCTGGCGAGGACTTTACCCTGGGAGGTAGCACGAAGTTTTCGGACTTGGAGGACGGGGTTTACAAGTTTCCGGAGGACGGCTACCCCAATTCTCGTAACCAAATGTGCAGTTCTATATTCTATACACCATGGACCTAAACAGTACAATCTGTTAAGGACGCCTACAAAAGCGTCCCTAACGTTGAACATCCCAGTAGCTGGTGGGAAGCCTGAGACACAGGCGAACATTCCGTGATATGTCGCCTGCTCGGTTGCAGATTACAGGAAAGCTTTTCGTCCCATCAGGAGAGCTATGGCAGCATGGAGGCCAAGAAGCTTCTAGAGGCGATCGGAACGTGACTCTCAAGGAGCTGTGTGTTCAGACATTCGGAGGTCGCCTCGGGTTCGCAATCGGACTGACAAGCGCAGCAGGCGCAGCGCATACCAATCTCTCATCCCCATCTGAAGGCTTCACACAACATCCTCAGCTCTCACAGCGACGAGCCTGGATCCAAGCCTACTCAAAGAAGCCGTCGAGGTCCTGAGGTTCTTTCGGCTGTTTGGAGTGTCATCGGGCAGACTTCTGTCGCCTTGACATAGGGTTTTCCAGGAGCTGGTTATGTTCAGGTGCTGTTGCCCGGTTGCAGTGGCCACAGCGCGCAATGTGGGCAACAGTTGTTTCAGGATGAACGCCGATAAATGACAGAAGGATTTATAGATATAGTGTCACAAGGCTCGCAATGCAAGGTCCCCGATCAGTGTTGAAGGAGATGGATGGCATTTCTCACTTTAGATAACGAAGCCCTAAACCCAACCCTTGCGGCCCCTTTAAAGCACCCAAAACCCGCAACCCTAAAATATATTAAAACCCCCCAACAAAGAAGCTCCAAACCGCACAGAAACCACACCAAACCAGCTAAAAACCCTTAACCCACCATCAAAAGATGCTTAAACCCTTAACCCTCAACCCTCCACCCCCGAAAAAGCCCTAGTCACCCTAAACCGAGGGGCCTCGGAGCTGTCTTCAGCGACTTGCAGGGAGGCGGTGGTGGCCGCGGCACGACCTCCTCCGGCTTCGGTGAGCCCGGCGGCTTTGAATGTAGGGAGCCTTGAGTTGTGGGGGTGCCTTTAAAGGGGTCCCTAAGGGTTCCTTTTAAGGAGCTGAAGGGTTCCTTATTTGAGGAGCTCTATGAGGGTTTGGGGCTTTAGGGTTTCAGGGCGGGCCCCAACTCTCAGGCTCTCAGGCCCGAAGCGTCCGAACCGAAATGCTCATCGGACTTTGACTTCGCCTTTGACCCGACCACTCCCCAGTGGGTTAGGGTTTAGGGTTTAGGGTTTAGGGTTTAGGGTTTAGGGTTTAGGGTTTAGGGTTTAGGGCTCCCCAGCGTCGCACGGGACGATGTGCTTTCTCCTTACGTCGCTGCAGCAGGCGACGGCACCAAGATCTTTGGCTACAAGCACGTGCCGGGCCCAGCATCTTCAATTTGAGCATTGGGACAGCAGATGCCCAAGTCAATCACAGGCCCCATAAGGGAGTTTCCGAACTAAGGGGTACCTGATTTTGGGGTCCTTATAATAAGGATCCTACTATTTAGGGTGCTATATTGGGGTCCCCTGTTTTCGGAAACCCCCATTCAGCCACAACCCTAAACCCGACAGCCGAAAGCCACAACCCAAGTCCTAAAGCCTCAAGCCATACTTGGAGGTTCATGGATAGTTGTAAGTGGGGTTATAAGTCCCCTAATATGGGTCATAATTATAGTTACCCTACTTATAACCCTACTAGGCCCTACTTATAACTACCCATGAACCTCCAAGTACCTTGAACCACTCTGATTCCCTCGAGGAGCTTCAGTTCCCGCCTCCTAAGTGAGAGTGCCGGGATCCAGCTGAGCTGCTAACGCCACCATGGGTAGTTCTCTAAACTGGGTTCCCTGTTTTGGTACCCGAAACAGTAGGGCACCCTTCTAAACAGCACCCTAAAAAGGGACCCTAATGTAGAAAACTCCCCTAAACCCTAAACCCTAAACCCTAAACCCACATGCTGGCAGACGGGGTGCCGAAACCCAGCCTTCAGTTGCAGGCTCCTTTCGGTGCCCCAGTGTCTCCAAGATAGCACTGTGCCACCACAGCGAGCTGGAGAAAAAAGTGAATCACTTGGAGGATCATGGGACTTAGTAAGTAAGACAATAAGTACCCTAACACAAGCTCAGCAAGTAAGATAATAAGTACCCTAATACAAGCTTGGAAGTGAGCAGCACTCGGAACATTGCTGGCATTATCTTCCGAACATGCGTCGCTGCGAGGCTCAGACATGCTTTTAAGTGCTTCATTGGAGCAACCGACACTCCGCGGACCAGTCTGCAGCCCATGCTAAAATTCTGGCTTGGCGCTAGCGGTAAGTGGTTAATCAAACACGCCGCATCTACAGCAAGTCCCTGCTGTACCGATTGATTTTTGAGAGTGAAACGCGGCTCCGAGTCCAATCTGACCTGGTCTAAGACGACTCCTGTGAAGAGGGTAGGCCGGCAATGGGCTGATGAGCACTATGTCGGTCCTTGCGTGCTTCACCCGGACCGACAAGCCTGCGGAGGAGACTGCTGTTTTGGTGGAGGGCTCTTCATGGACTGCTGCGATCTGCAACTGTTCATGGCAAGACCCCTTTGACAACGGTTGGTGGTAATCCAGACGATTGAGTACCTGCCGTGTACAGTGCTAGACTGTTAAGCTGTTGAAACACGACGAAACAGCCTGACCACTGAGGTGCTAACTTTTCGTGCAAGTGTTTCGAAATCCTGATAAAGGCACCCTTCTAATAACCCTTCTAGGAACCATAAAGGATCCTATGTCCCTTAGAGTCCCATTATGTTTGTACTTAGAGTAATTTAGAGTAATCTTTAAAGTTCACAGCGGACCCACAGTACCCTTACAAGGGCCTCTGTTCTACGTACTCCTTGCTGTCGAGTGACCCCGACAGGAATCCTTAAAGGCACCCTCAAAGGTATCCTTAAAGTGCCCGTATAGTACCTTTATGGTACCCCTGGATGGTTCCGGTAAGCTTTCCTTGAGAGCCCAATACCCCTTAAATGAGGAATATACCTTAAAATCATAATAGTAAGGCCCCTATAATTTCAGGTATAGTCCTTATTGAAAGGGTATTGGGCTCTCTGGGTTCCTTGAAAGCGTACCCACCAAAGCAGGAGAAGGCCCTAAACCCTAAGCCCTAAACCCTAAACCCTAAAATCCTAAACCCTAAACCCTAAACCCTAAACCCTAAACCCTAAACCCACCAAAGCAGGAGAAGGTGGATGTGTGGCTCACGGAGCAGCTCAAGTTCACGCGCGACCAGCGTCTTGGCTCCGGGAAGAAGCAAACACTGGTGATTGGGATTGAGGGGTTGAGGATTTAGAGTTTAGTTAGGATTTGGGATTGAGGGGTTGAGGATTTGGGGTTTAAAGTTTAGGATTTGGGGTTTAAAGTTTAGGATTTGGGGTTTAGATTCTAGAATTTGGGGTTTAAAGTTTAGGATTTGGGGTTTAGTGAGTTTAGGGGTTGAGGGTTTAGGGTGGCGTTGAGCATAGTAATTATAGGGGCTGGAAAAGAATTAGAATCGGGTCTTGGGGTATATTATACTACAACTATAGTTAGGAACCCCCTAGTCGTATAGGTAAAAAATTCAGGTCCCTGCAGTATGTTTCAGGTTTGGGGCTTTGCCAGGTCGAAGGTCGAGCGTTCAAGGCTTTTCGGACAGATCCTTGGAAGGGCGGGCGAAGTCGGGAGAACTCCAGACTTCGAGTCTTCAACCGTCACGCCTCTGTTGGGTACGATTTGGGTAGTTGTCAAAATTATGGTCCCTTTTGGGGTACCCTAAATAATAGGTGCCTTTTTTTAATACGGACCCAAAAAGGGACCATAATTTTGACAACCACCCATTTGAGTCATAGTGTGATGAACCAACCAAGCGAAGAACCCCCTCGCCTCCCCAAGCCTTCATCTGCCTTCATCCTCGCGGAACCCAGAGACTCCAATATCCCTTAATTAAGGAATATACCTTAAATCTTATTAGGGTTCCTACTATAATTTAAGCAATATCCCTTAATTAAGGGATATTGGAGGCTCTGGGAAACCAGGTTAGACAAGAAGTCCAGACAGTGTGAGCAGCTGGATGCAGAGCTCCGCCGACTCAAGGCGGCCGGCGGTCGAACATCGCATGACGAAGGTTTAGGGTTTAGGGTTTAGGGTTTAGGCTAGAATGGGACTGGCGTAGGTCAGTGTTATTGCGGTGTTGACATAGGCAGCTGATCCAAGACCCAACGCTGGCGCTCCACTCTGCAGATTTAGCGCGGCTCTTCCCTCGCATGATCTTGGGATCTGCCCAGAGCCTCCAATATCCCTTCATTAAGGAATATACCTTAAATTATAGTAGGAACCCCAATAAGATTTAAGGTATATTCCTTAATCAAGGGATTTTGGAGTCTCTGGCTGACAGGAGCAAAGACTGGTCGTGCGGCCGGAGGACGACACTTTCTGGGCTGACCAAGAGATCCTGAGCGCGTGAGGGATTTTGGTGTTCAGACTCTCTGGCTGCTTCCACGAGTTTGAAGAAGAAACACTTGGTATAGGACCTATAAATAATTAGAATAGGGCTCTGAAGTACCTTCTAATATTACGAAAAGAAGGAACCCTAAGGACTACTCTTGCCCAGCCGGCCACAGCATCTCCGAAGGAGTTGGAAGCCTTGAAGGAATCTCACCGGCAGGACGGACCACAACGGCTTTTGCACTAGTTTGGGGCAGGATGTTGTAGCATTAAAATTGTCCAAACTGCTTGATCTACCTGTGCCTTAAGATCCAAAAGCTAAAGGTGCTTGCCGACTGCTGTGAGATTCTGACGCCTTGTGCGGCAGGAGCTTGAGAGGCTGTCTCAAGAGCTTGCCAATGAGCGGGACCTCCATCAAGAGGCCAGGCTCATGAGCAGCGTGCCGCGAGGAAGGGTATCAGCTACCACAACCACCACTGTCGCCGCAGCCACCGCTAGCGCCACCATCATCACCATCGTTGCAACTCCTTGGAGTCAGGCAGTTGCAGAAGCAGGTGATGAGGATGATGATGCCGATGTTGATGCATTTCCTGATGACGCCGCTGGTAGCAGGCTGGCGGTTCTAGGTGATGCTGAAGACAAGCATGTTTGATGCATGCTACTTGTAGTGGAGGAACGTGGAGGATGGTATGGCAACAAAGAGGCCATGTCTGTGTGCGAAGCCGTTCCAGGCCTCGCGGCTTCTTCAAGGTCAGCGGGAGCAGCGAGATGCCAAGGCAGGTCGGTTCGCATGCGGGTGGGACCGTCACACATGAAGTTGGGCTTTCTTTATGTATATATATATATATACACTATATATAAATATATATAAATATATAAATATAAATAAATATATATATATATATATCTATCACTATTTCGGGATTTCCATGCATTCAGTGGTGTTCGCTGCCGAATTAAGGGTGCAAAGTGAGGTCGCACAAGTCGCTGAACGGTTTCGCGACTTCGTGCTTCCAAAAGCCTGCGGGTGCCCTGATCTTAACTGTACTGCCGTCCAAGACAGCAGACCAGGCTTCTCGCAAAGGCTCCGGCAGAATGGCGCTTACGCCCTCAACCACGGCTGAAACTGAGAGCTGACTACAGTGCTAGTGCCATTCAGCTTCCCAGCCTTCCTGCACTGTGACAGTCAGAACTCTAGGGGTCCCGTGGTGGAGACGCAGTTTGCGGATACCTTCGGCCCAGTCAAAGTCCAAGAGGAGAGACCGGAAGGTGTAGAAGGTCTGTACATTCTTGGCTTGCGCCACTTCTGCAGATTGCTTGGCCCACAGCCTTGCTTTCAGGCTGCAGATGCCATTACTTATGGTTTGAGCTGTGGCTCTGTCCCAAGGGTCAGTGGGATCAGCATCAACAAGCTCCTGGACTTCTTGCTCAACCCTTTCAAGGAGCTCAAGGATCTCTGACGGGTAGAGAGGTGTGTGGCAGAGCTGCTCCCAAAGCGCTGCAGAGACAAGAGCACAACTACTAAGGTCGCTACCTGAAAGGAGAAACTCTGAGATTTCCCTATAGGCAGAGTCCAGGTTGTGACTCCATGCGGTACAGGCAAGGCGCCCTAGGCGTTCGCCCCCTGCCTCCGGCACGGCAGGGGTGAAGTTGGCACTTTCGTTCTGACGCCTTTTCTTGCTGCCGAATCCGGGCTGAACCTCTTCACTCCATTGTCCAGCAGCTCTCAGCGTCGCTACACATCTTACACTGGAACGCAAATGTGCTGCCAACCTTCCGGATGTCCAGTAGTTAGTTCCACAGGCCGCGCAATATGAACCCTGTGCCACGTGTCTGTAAGCAGCTACTCTCGCATGTTTCTTAAAGAAATGTACGCTCAGTGCTGCTTTAGTGGTGAAGGGTTTGTCACAAATATTGCAGCTCCATGGCATGATCCAAAGGTCATGGAGCACGCGCTGTTGCAGTGTGCGGTGACAGTGCCATTGGCACAACTGTGCCGCATCTTGTGCACATTGCTGTGCATGAGCTTGTTGAAGACGTTTGCGCAGTGCACGTCGGAATCGCTGCGTGGATTCCTTGAGCATGTGATGCCATGCAGGCCATGATGCCGCCGTGACAGCTGGCCACCCCTTGGGGTCTTCCTTCGTGAACCATTCCAGATCCGCTTGGAGTAAGCACATCCAGCTTTGTTCCTCTTGTAACATTGCCCAAAGAACGGGGGGGCCTGCCGCGACTAAGGAGATCAGGAGACTCAAACGAGCTCGCAGCGCTATGAGCTCCAGTCTCCAGCATCCGGTGCACCAATGCGCAACTGGCAGTGGCAGGTGGAACACCGCACTGCCTTCAACCCGCTTGGTTAGGAGGCGCCTAACAAGCTTGGAGTAGCCACACGTAAGCTTCTCCCAGGCCTTGCCCTGTGGCATCCATTGGCCTATGTTGAAGAACGTAGGGGTAACAGAAGTCTCAAAGAGGGCTGCCCTCGTGCTGAGCTCAAGCCTTGGGTTCTGAAGGAGCAGAGCTTTGGCCGTATCTTACGAACTGGCCGCCTGGCCGAGACGATGCCTCACCTCTGGCAGCATAGAAAGACGACCGTCTACAATCCCTCCTAAGTGCTTATACTGGTCTACCACGGCAATGCCTACCTGCAGGTCCGGTAGGAAAAGATGTCGGGCCCCAGCCGGGAAGAAGTCCTTTCGCGCTTTCTGAACTCCCTTTCCGACTAGGCTCACCAGCAGGCTGGTTTTGCCTGGTTTGAGATTTGGGGCCATGCCATGGCTTTCGCAGAAACTTAACACTAGCGAACAGAGTCGCTGTGTATTGCTGAGCAGTGCATAAGGGCTTTCAGCTTCGAGCGGAAAAGCTGAGTCGTCTGCCCATGTCGCGTCCGTCACAGAGAGAATCTCTGTGGAGTCGCCTGTGCAGAAAATTCCACTGGCGGCGTCATATTGGAGTTCGTACCCCAACTCTTCAGCTCTTACAAATTCTTGGACCTTGTGCAGCACGCGAGAGTAGATAAATGCAAAGAGCAAGTCCGCCCATGACTCTCCTGGACGACTGCCCGCCGTTAAGCTGCACACCCGAGAGCCATCAGAGAAACGCGTGACGAACCAAGTATTCAAGTGCACATCTTTGACTACCTGTCGCAGAGAATCCGGCAGGCCAGCTTCACTGATCAGCCCGCCAGCTGCGACAGTTTCCAAAAGATCACGGGCATCTTCACTCTCGAGGCCAAACCTTCGAAAGAGAGTGAGCACTGTGTCGTCGCGACGGATGTCACCAACCGCTAGCTCTCGCACGACTCTGTAATATGCAGCAGCTGTTGTCAGGAATAACACCGAGGCACTTCTCCGTCTTTGTTGGCTTCTTCGCATGTGCGTGAGGACAAACAAAGAAGCGAATGTAACGGGGGCTTGCTTTCTAGACCCAAGGTGAAGTGGATGAAGTTCATCCCGGCTAAAGACCTGGGACTTATTGCGGAGCATACGATGGTACGCCTTTGCTGCAAAGTTCGAAACAAAGAGGCTGCGATAGTTTTCCACAGAAGACTGCAGTCCTGATCGCTTAAAAGCCTCAAGCAGTACCCCCCCTCTCCACTGGGTTGGCTGGTGCTGATGCAGCATGGACTTGAGGAACAATGGCAGTAAAACTCTGGCGCTCTCACTGGGGATGGTGCTCAAGGCCTCACCTGGTATACAGTCAAGCCCTGAGGCTTTGCGCCGAGGTATGGTGCGCAAAACAGCTTCGACATCACGATAGGATGGCAGCATACTCCATGTCCACGTGACATTCTCATCAAGACAGCTACGCTGTGCCTCCCGCACAAATTCTGATGTGGAGATGGCCTCACCTTGTTCCTGTCGTCCAAAGTGAAGCATCCAAATGTCGTCTTGCTGCTTCCTGGACTCAGCTGGCTTGCCTTCATCTGGGTGCAATAGCAAAGGGAGTGGCCTCTGGATCGGCCTACTCTTCGCTCCTCCGAGCCCTGCCTGTTTGACCCTCTGCAGGACTTTGGAAGCTCCTTGGTGACCTTCACTAGCGACCTTTCTCAGGAAGGTATTCTTAGCCCTGGCTATGTCAGCCTTGATACGCACTGTAACAAACTTGATAGCAGCTGAGGAGACTGCGTACAGCAGTCCTTGCGTGGCAACCAAAAAGGGCACACCATAATCTTGATGTTCCTTCCACTGGAGGAAGGCTCGGCATGTCAGATCCGCCCACAACCGGGCCCTGGGTCTGACCCGGCGTTTGAAGCTCAGCTTCTTATCTCTGAGTGCCCATACTTGATGCGGAATGTATGAAGCACAGCCAGGCCGACGCGGTGCTGGGAAGTGTTCTTGGAGCACCTTGTGGAAATGCTCTTCAATGAGGCGGCAATGGGTATCTGGATGAACTTCCCAACTCGGATGTTGGAAGGCTGCAAGGGCGTCACGCATTATCTGCTTCCCCTCCTCAGACATGAGCCTGTCACGGTCAAAGCTTGCTCTTTTTAGCCTGCTTGCATTGCCTGTTACACCTGTCTCACCTTGGACCTGAAGCAGGAGCAATTTGTGGTCTTCCTGCGGGCTGCCATTGTCAAAGCTCATATCGACCATAGAACGAGCTTGTCTCACGTCAGCTTTGCCTCCTACTAGGTGATAGTCGATGCGATGGCACTGACCACTTGGGTGCACATAGGTGGCAGACTCCCCGCAATGAATGTGCTCAAAGGTGGAGGGGACCCATACACCTACATTCGCCAGTAAGGCTGCAGCGCGCCAACCGGTTGAGTCGGCCTCACCATGTTCTAGCCCACCAGAGACACCCTCAAAGTCCACAGGAATACGCCCATTGAGATCTATCCCTCCTAACAGAAGGCTAGCTTTTTTTATCCTTTGGAGTCCCTGTTGGAGCTCATCAAGGAATCGGGTGCACTCCTGCGTCCGTCCAGCATGCGGGCAATGACCACTCACCAGTCCAATTCTCAAGTCCCCTATGGTGACCATGAGAATAAGGAGGCGTGGCCCTTCACAGATCACAGATAGGTCACTGTCATCAACTATCAAAGGGCCATTCTTGAATTCAAGGACCCCGAGCTGGCGGTGTATCCAGATCGCTACCCCCCAGTCAGAGTCAGAAGCAGTGTGAAGCCTAAGGTACGGCTTAGAATTAATTACTCCCGATCCAGATTTGGTCTCTTGTAAGCAGGCAACATGTACGCCACGGGCTGCAAGCTGCTCCTCTATGTACTTATGTTTGCCACGGAGCCCCTGTACATTAATGGTGGCTACAGTCGAGCGAAACCATGTGTTCCCCGCGTCTGTACGTCCTGCTGCTCTCCGAGTGACTGGCACTAGCTGTTCTGGCTGAGCATCAGACGGGAGTAGCTTGCCCGGACTCCAGACAATTTTTCCATCTAGAAGTGGGATCGCATGATGGCTGCGTGCGTCCTGCTCAACTGCGGCCCAGTCAAGCCCTGGCTGTTGAACAAGCTGACAGATGGTAATAGGAGGCGTTGGCCATTTTACAGTAGCCTGGGCCGCAGATTTAGCTATATAGTCAGCCAGGTCATTCCACGGGTGGCTGGAATGACCTTTGACATGTTCGTAGCGAACCCTAATCCCTGGGGTCGCCCTAACGAGCATAGCTAGGTCATGGACCAGCATTCCGAAGCTACCACAGGCCTGCCAGGAGCCTTCAGCTGACCATCCTGCAGCATTGCAGTCGAATCTTATGTTGCAGTCCACAACTGGTAGCATTGATCTTAGCTGCAGTGTCCACAGAAGTGCTACTGCAATAG